TGTTATTGGTAATTTGAATTATTTGTAAATTTGACCGAACGTTTTAATTGCTCGTAGTAGTATTGTATTTCACATTCAGATTAATCCTTTGCTGAATACATGAGATTGTATGAAAATTATGTAGTTGATTTCACTCCTGACACAATGGTTATTGTCGTTCAAAGTCATTAACGTTCCTCCATAAAACTGTTTTAGTATTGGAGGACATTTCATATAATATAAGCCAAAAATTACAAATTGACTTCAACGCGAATATCAATTCTAAAGATCAGTTTTCCTCCGAGAGAATAACATCAATAAATTTATATATTAAGGCATGTTTGGTAAAAACGTTAAGAGTTCCTAAAAATTTTCATTTAAAGTACTGCAATTGATGAATGTCATGTAGAAAATTGCATATTCTCCCTAGACATATCGAATGACACTACAATGTCGCATTTTAAAGTTGGAATTGGATTAATTCCTGAGAGCAATTACATTCATAATTTAGAAATAAAAGTCATGATTTGTGAAATGCATCAATGAAATGTTTCTGTTGATAGATCATCTAATTATTGTATTGTATATAAAATATGAAGATAAGGAACAGTTATTTATCTAATAAATCAAATAGACATAACGAATAATGAGCAGTGCAAAAATATGTACCCTGGAATGAAACAAAGAAAACGAACAGTATTCAAGATCAAAAGTACATAGAACAATAAAAAGTCCTAATTCAGTGCCCAACAATAAAAAAAAGAAAGGCCTAATATATAGTTGACAGCAAAACAAAAGATTTAGACATACATGAACCTATACAAACATGTACATAAAATAGACCTCTTCAATGTATATATACATATGTATCAATTGAAGTGGGCAATTAATTAATGTACAGGTTCCAAAGTACATTAGGAGGGGTATAGCATTTTTACTTTTATCATTTTTTAATGAGATTTTTTCTGATTTGGATAAAAAGTCACATAGTTTAAATAATATATTGTGATCACCATAATCCATAAAAATTTTTGATTGTTGGACAGAGTGTTGAAATTTTTATAATTGTCACTTAAAAAGTTAAATAAAACTTTCCTTTCTTCATTATATAAAGAACAATTTGTAAGGAAATGGATTTCATCTTCAATACAATTTGAATTAAGAGTACATGTCCGTTGACTTCTTTCTAGAGGGATCTTTTTCCCATATCTTTTGTATATTCATATCTACCACGTTCAATTCTTAATTCATGTGCAAATACACAGTATTTTCCTCTGTTCAAAAGACTTTAAAGATAGTAAATATTTCTCAATGGCAAAAGTATTCAACAAAAAATATTTATCAAGTTTACCATGTATAAATAATATTGGATAAACAATTGGTATGTTTAAGAAATTAAGGTCGTTTGTTACATAAAAATTTGACAGTGTCATACCAGTTATTGATGTCATTTTTTTGCACTCTCACAATGATAAATTGTATTTGGTGATATTCAATTTCTCTGCATCCCAATCTTTGTATATAGTGTAAATGTCAAGTTGTCATGCCCCAAACTTCACAGCTGTATAATGATATTGGTTTGATTAGGTGGTCAAAGAGGTGTAGCTGAGTTTTTATAGATGGTTCTGATGATTTCAAATCTTTGTGCACTTTGAAGGAGGCTTTCAAAGCTTTTTTAAATAATGTTTCTTTTGCTTCTTTAAAGGAGCCGGGTGAACATAGTACTATTCCCAGATTCAATTTCTCTAAAGAACTTTACGACTTTTGTTAAAAATTATTATTTTTGTTTTGTTACAATTTACTTCTAGACACCACTTATTACAGTATTTATTCAATGTATTTAGTTTGTTCTGCAAATCAATTTGGTTGTCAGATATTAAAGCAAGGTCATCTGCATACGAAAGACGAGGCTGCTGATATTCTTGTTTTTTTCATTTGTTTGTCAATAATTTACCTCGTTTTGGAAAGGGTTCATGCGTAGAGATTGGATCAGGCTAAATAGGAGTGATCGTCTGCTGTTTACCGGTCTCACCCACTGTTAGCGACATTATTTGGAGAGTAGTTTTTGTTAATTTTAAATCAAACCCTGTTCGATAAGCATGACAAAGCTGAAGTATTATAGTAGTATGGTAATGTCAGTTTTGTTTTCCTCATTTTCCAAGTGCAGTAAGTACCAAGTGAATGTTTAAATATGGCATTCTCCATCGGCAAGTGATGGATTCTCAACATGAGTGATTTTTTTAAAGGAACGTTCAACAAACAAATGTTTCCTTAAATATTTTGAATGAAATAAACTGTGAAAATTAAATCTAAGGATGTTGATTCATTTTGAAATGATAAATCAAGTGTTAGACGTCATTTTTTCATGTTACGGTGTGTAGCAAAAAAGCCAGCAGTTTTAGTTCAAACACCAAAATAATATAATTCCCTCCAACTTGTTTTTGGTCTATTAAGGTCAAACGACACGTTCCTCAAATACATATTTTGTAAATCTTGGTATTATATAAAAAAAATATGCAAAATTGTCAATCTATTGTCATTTCTACATTGTTTTCACAAAAGATCACAAAAATTGTGATATAAGCCATTCAGAAGATTACCCATAAAGGATATATAAGAAATATCCGCCAATGGTATCGAAATGCCTGGTAAAGTACCTTAATTTTTGTGAGGAAACTTGTTTAAAGTAACACAATGAGTCAATCTAATGTGCTTCTTTTAAGATATCGCATACAGAGAAAGACTTATGAACATTATGAGTATATCGCTAAGATATAACAATTAAACTGCAAGAAAATACTGCACAATTTAAGTGCAGGAAAAATAAAGAATGTATCTACCGTTTCATTGTTTCCGTGTTTGTAAAGGTCAGGCCACTTTTATTTTTAGCTCATACTTGTAAACAGCATTATACTGGAGCATGAAAAAGTGAGAAATATTTTTAAACAACTTTTTAAAAAGATTGCATCAAAATTTTTGTCTACTTACATTCATTCTTGGATACTTGAGACCATGGTAACTATGGACACTTATTCAACTTTCCTGCGCACGTCTACAATATGGAGGAAGAAATATAAAGCAGTATTTTCGTTATGGGGCATACTGAATTTATTTTTACTTTTATTTTTCTCCTTAAAATTAAAATTTATAGGTTCTGACACCTGTAAGTTTCTGAAACCTAATATTTTTAGGAATTGAACAAAATTAACATGGGTCATGCAAAAATTTTCCCCTTTGTGTCCTCAATCACAATGACAAATTCTAGGGAAAATTATATATTTTTGAGGAATTTGTCGTTTGACCTTAAAAACACAATATAAGGATATCTTCGTAAGGAGTTGAATCAAAGATTCATAATTAAAATGTTATAGATTCGAAGTCAAGATAAGTGAAATAGTTAGAATTCATTTGAATGTTCTCTTTGAATTTTCTTACTTTAAAATGTTTGATAATGTGTTTAAGGCTCATCATTGTAACCACTGTAAAATTTGCAAAGATCTCACTATCACTTTATGAAAATTCATATACATGTAACATCAATTTCTCTGTCAGCAGCTTGTCCCTATTGAAATTTGATTATATGTAGATCATGTATTTAGCGTATCGACTTCGTTAGGAAACATAAACTGTGGCCAATAAAGAAGCCGTTGAGAGCGCATCAGAGTCCCACATATCATTGGAAGTCTAAAACAAAACAATGATATGTTGGATTTCTCCAAAAAGAAGCTCGAGAGACATTGAGATCGAATCAAGGATATTAAGGTGCCGTTGATAATACCATGTAATTGCTTTTATTGAAAAAAGAATGACTAGTAATTGATCCCGATGGAAAAGATGATCCAAAATGAGTATCGTTATCAGACATTTCTCTGAATTATCTCCATCACTATGCAATGTTTTACGTGTATTGAAATGTTGAATATTGCTGGGGATTAAGTACTTCAAAATTGATTTCTTTCGTTCGATTTGATAAGGCGGTTTGGCACATTCATGTAGAAAATGTGAGTTGCGGAAATTCTTTTCTTTATTCTACGTCTAAATGCTTCCTTTCCAAATGAACAAAAGATGATAAGATCTAAACCCTCGCTGATTGATTAATCCCCATTGTTCTTCAGCCACTGTGGTTTTTTTCTTTTACAGGTAACGTATTTACTTTATATTTTGCGACCTCTGATGACAATAAATTTTTCATAAAAATGTCTTTAACGTAACCTAAAGTAATTGTGTTAATTTGCCTTGATCATATGGCGTATTGAACGATTTGCCACCAAAATAAGGCTTGGTTTATTCATTTGTAAAATGTCTGTCGGAGTCTGTCACGAATTAACAAAGGCACTCGGAGACGTGGGTTAATTGGTTTAGGGTCTGAAACATTTTAGGTTTATTTATCACTATACTGTTAAAGTACAATTTCTTTGTTCCTTTATTGATATTGATTTATTAAAAAAAATTAAAATGTTGATGCGCGTTTTAATGGAAGGATGTTGGTGGTGGTTGTGGGTCACTTGAATAAAGTATACTTTTTTGAAGGTTCACTTTAATGTGATATATGCTTCTTTAAAATAATATATTAAAACCTTTTTGAATGTTTATCATTTCGTAAGTTCTATAGTCGATACAATGACCTTGTCAGCAAATACCATTAAGTAAAATGCTGACTGATGTTTTTCATGCTGATTGTTAGTCCATTATTTATATACTGAATTGACGACGGATTTTTCCATTATTCCCCATTATGACAAGGTGCACACGGCTGGTGTGACCCGTCGGCTCCTGATCCCACCTCTGATGTTTTGGAGGTCCATGTTTGCTCTGCACCTGTTTTATATTGTTTTAAGGATTTTTGATTTTGAATACTGTTCGTTATCTCCGTATGTTTCATTAATATTAATTAAAGGCTCTGTGATGTTTTAAATACATTAGACATCAGACAAATGCAATTGAACTTTGATTCATAATCGAAAATAGTGAAATGACAAGAAGTTTTTGCTGGTAATGAGGTCTGTATTTGTCGTTTTCAGATGGCGAGGAGGAGAAGGTGGTGTCAGTATTACTGAACGGCGAGGAGTCCGTCTTGTCCTTCATAGACCCCGACACTGAAAACGTAAGTGCAATAAACAGCTTTTAATCCCAAAGACTATAGAATATCACTGTACTACAATGAAACTCTTAAAATATCATCAATTGTGCTTTTTATTGTTCATAGGTAAAGCCAAGATGTGCTCCGAACTGTTCTTGCATCGATGCTTATGTAGTTGTCTACTGTATTGATGATCGATCATCGTTTGATCGGGCCGTCGATATTCTTTACAACTTACGGAAGGAAGAGCACAGTGATTCGGCGATTATCTTGGTGGCCAATAAATGTGAACTTGCCAGATCAAGACTCATCACCTCTGAAGGTAATCTTTGTTTAAATACGGATCTAATGTTTTAGTTTTGAATTTGTTCTTCAACTCCTTTATAAATTTGACGGACCTCTTTATATTTAAGAGGTAGGATCAGGTTCCTAGGAGGACTAACCGTCCATCGTCGACCCGTAACAGCAGCCCCCTCCCCGAAAAAAAATAAAGGAAAACACATCTAAATCTAACACTTTTATTTGGAAAACATTTTTACTTAAGTTGTACAGTTATCCAATAAACACATGAAGATAACCCAAATTATTCAAGATCAAAAGTCCATAAAACAGTACAAAATAGGAGCAGAGCAAACATGGATCTCCAAAACATCAGAGGCGGGATCTTGCCTGGGGGCCATAAAACTTAGACGAGCTCACTTTGATCCTAGTCTCACTTTTTTATCAAAGGAATATTTAGTGGAAAAATGAGACTGAGATCAAAAGTGAGCTCGTCTAAGTTTTATGGCCCCCAGGCCAGGTGCCATGGAGGAGTGAGAATCCCTGCCGACCGGTCACAAGCGCCGTGTGCTCCTTGCCATGTTCGGGAAATAACGGAAAAATGCGTCGTCAATTTAGTGTATAAATAATGAAGTTACAATTAGTATGGAAAACGTCAGTCAGCATTTGACTCAATGATAAATTGTATTTGCTGACAAGGTCATTGTATCGACCATAGAACTTACGAAATGATGACTTTAAACGAGACAGCTGAAATTCTTGTTTCATAAATTTGTTTGTCAATAATTCTAATAATAATGTAATTGTCAATTAATCTAACCACTTCTTCTCAAAACCATTGGATTACAATATGTTTAAACGGGGAATATGAGAGCTGAGTCTTGCATCTATACTGATAATCATAGCAAAGTAAAAAAACATGATATTGGAGCTTAGATATTGTTGATCAAAAATTGTTTGCTTGATTTTTACATTGTGTTAAATATGCTTATAAAAAGTCATAGATCTAGAAGACTCTCAAAAGACTCCTCCAGACTTTTAGTTTACACAGTGTGAATGTAATTTTAAATGTATTTTCAATATCGAGGAGGAAGGACTTATTAAAAGGTTGTATGATTTGACCTATATTGAGTACAAAATTTGTTACATCTATTTAGCTGCATAACCAGCGCAGTCTGTGCAGTTGCTTCTCATTCATGCTGCTCTTAAGCATTTTGGAACATGCTACGATATAGCATTTTCTCTCTGGTTCATCTCTTTTTATTGATCCACATACAATCTTTACATCGTGCACCTCTTCCATACTGCTGCGATTCTTGTATTAATGCACTTTGCAACGGGACCAAGTTGCGTAATATTCCATTATAAATTTTTCGTGCAATATAACAGAAATTAAATTCAGCTCATTATTTTTTCATATTACAAACCTTAAAGAAGAAATTCAAAACAAAAAATAAAACGTTTTGTATATTTCTAGAGTACATTGAAACTTTGCTTTGCAGCCAGAAAATAAATTCATATCAAAGTTGTTTACGATAGTTTTGCAAAGAAAGAATTTACTTTAGATTGTTTGTTTCAAGTTATTTAACCTTTGGAATTTCCGGCAATATCATTGATTTATGTTTCACACATAGAAGCGATAATATTAGTTGATAATTTTCTGTCAAACACAGATTGTTATTTTGCCCTTCCTCCGATATTTACAAGGAAATCATTATTTGGTGCTCATAGCATATATATAAAATGTCCGCGTACATCTGGGAATTTTAGAATTCTTTGAAGAATTTTATGAAAACAAGAAAGCAAATATAAAAGTTAGATTTTTTTGGTATCTTTACACTTCAACAACGATAACAAGATGGGAATGTAAATTAATGTGGATTATTTCAGTTTGTTGTTGATCTTTTGATATATACACATGTAAAGCGTGGCATTCGTAGGAGGTCAGAATGTCAAATCTATATCAAAATTCCACACTTCATGTGGTCAATAGTATGAAAAAGATACATTCTACCAGAGAGATAAATAACGTTACTTAAGTTTTTACATTTATTAAATATTATCAGAGAATGGCTCCATGGCAAGTAGATTATATTTTGTGTGAGCATTATCTTCTTGGTATTGTTACAGCGTAACGTTGTCATAGGGTTCTCGTGTAGTCTCATAGCCATCATTACAAGTTTCTCGTCATTTCATCGCTTTTTCTTATCTATTCTACAATTTGGACATTTATTTCAGATGCTTTCAAATATTTGGGAAAAAAGAGTTAACATATGCACGTATGGTATGAAACATGTCACTCATGATTTAGTTTTATGTTAATTATGTCTCCTTTAAAAGAAAATTGTCTTTTAAAACTTAAACTCATTGATTTTATTGATGTTCTAACCATTAAATAAAAAAACTGACAAACTTTCCAGGATTTATTTTTTTAACTTGGATTATATATTCAAGATTACTGTCACGTGACTTCTCACCAACTCTAGTGGGAATGTCAATTCATTTCAAAGGGATCTTGAAAAGAAATCACATCTCATTTCAATAGTACTTCTAAGATCTAAGAGTGAGTTGCATGACTTTGTACTTGAGAACAATGGCGGCCCTGTATAGTAATAATTATATTTTTACATACGCCCTGTCTCCTATCGATTTTATGCAAATCATCAAGGACACATAAAATTTCCAGGCATTAATTGCATTTAAAAAATAGGTTTCCGATGTTCTTTTTATGCTTTCTTGCTGAAGACTTTGCAGGTTAGAGAGAATTAGGCACAATTAAGCACACAAAGGAGTATCGCAGAGAGCAATCCGATAATGTACACACATCAAGGAGTGAAAAATCTATTTATAATCAACACAGTGATTACGATTCAGACTGTTTTCTACTTCACTTAGTCTTATAGTTGAGCCTTCCTAGAGGTCAGGCTTTGTTCCCTGTAGCACAGGAAGGTGGGAAGTGTTTATGTAAAACAGACACCACTTAGACTGATGTTATTGTGCTTTATCATTGAAATGACTTCATTGAAATTCAGCTAATGATAGATTGATGTGGTAGTATTAAGCCGGGATAAAGCTAGCAAATTACGCCTTTTATTTTGTAAAGTGCAAAAAATTATTCAAGCCAAGCCTTTGTTTTTTTAATCTGCAAAGGAGGGCTATGTGAAAAAAATAAATCTACTCGTGACCACACCGTGTTTATTTGAATGTGTGTAAAAAAGGAGAGAAAATCGTTTCAGAAAAGAGATAGACTTAAAGTAGATCATGTTAAAGGCGAGATAATGCGAGACATTGCTCACCACTTTATGATAAAACTAGTATTAATAGTAAGTAGAACGGACGAATAGCTGAGGTCATTCGTCATATATTTGTCTACTCCTCCTCAGAATTACAAAGATCCTGATTTAACCGAAGAATTATTTTGCGTATGAAAACGTATACTGAACAAATCAGTGTTTTTCTCGAAGCTTTAAAATTGAATTAAAATTAGAAAAAGATGGTAATTGATTTTGTTAGATCATGATCTATGATAGCAAATGATAGCAATGAAATATATGAAGATAACGAACAGTTTTCGAACTCAAAAGTCTTTTAAACAATTCAAATCTGAAGCAGAGCTAACATAGTCCTCTTAAACATCAGAGGTGGGATCAGGTGCCATGAAGGAGTGAGCATCACCTGCTGAGCGGTCATACCATGGGCTTCTCGTAATAATCGAGAAATTATAGCTGAAAAATCATTTGATTGACAGTGTGATCCATGGAAATTCCAATAGTTAGTTGGACGACCTGGTCACATGACCGTAAACTGAAAATAGACTTTAGTTAAAAAATTCTTTATAGATTTTGAAACAAAATGATAATGAGACTTAATTTAGATCATTAGTTGAAATATGAATAGTATATAGCTAAAAAAATCTTTAGAACATATGTCAAGTAAAACGAAAAATATTCAAGATCAAAATTTTGACTTAAATCTGTTCTCAGTTTATGGTCTTGAGGCCTGGTCTCCAAAAACAGATCTTATCAACCAGAAACTCAAGCATCTTTTTAACATCAGCTTAAGGATACTTGCGTGTACTACCAGACTGCGTTTTTTAACAAAGTAAACATTTATTCATTTCAGAAGCCCAGGCTGTAGCTAAGACCTATGATTGCAAATTCATCGAGACATCGACAGTGTTAAATCACAACGTGGACGAACTTCTAGTGGGCATCTTAAGTCAAGTCAGACTGAAAATCAAACAGAATGAAAGATCTCACAGTAGACTTGAGGGATGTGTCAACAAAAGTAAACAAATTTTGAACAAAATCTTTAAAAAAGAAGGAAACGCCAAATCCTGTGAGAACCTTTACGTTCTATAGATCCTTAGAACCGCCCTTTAGGGAAGATAAACGACTTTTCAAATCTACGACGTAAAATGGTATATCCTGCGTACAAAACCCGTAATAAAGAAATGTGGTTTCGAAGTACATTAAGTATGTATAAAGGCCAGGGGGTCGTAACATAAAGGCTACTTAAGTCTAAGACCGTGCTTAAGTAGGACTTAAGTACAGTCTAAAACTTAAGACCGTAACTAGAAGCGTACTAAGATTTGGCAATCTTAGCAAAACTTAGGCGGCCGGTAGAGGTGACTTAAGTATATCTTAACTTTCTTGTACATGTATTTAGACTTATTTACCGTTGATTTTCGATGTTAAAACATTCCTCTATTCATATTATGCATTAAAGAAAATAATTGTTTGAAATCGAAGTGATTTCAGAATTTTATTTTTTCTTTGAGGGGGGGGGGGTGTCAGTGATTCCAATATCACTTCCAACACAGCATACATGTAAATACAAAGTTTAATTTTAGGGGTACCTAAAAATAGTCTATTAGTGAAAGAGAATTGCTGATAAGTGGAGACATAGAAAAAAAATCCCGATTTTTTTGTATCCTTGATTAAATTGCAAATGAGTATATCATAAAACTTCCAGTTTTTGCTTCTGACATGCATGGCCTGATATACATAGCGGGGATTTTTTTTTATTTCAATTTCAAGTAAAGGCGGCCGATTATCTTTTCTTGTCTGCGATAATAACAGGGTAAGTGAACATTTGTCAAAACAAGAGTTACAAAAGGTACACTAGGGAAGATAAACGATTTTTCAAATCTACGACGTAAAATGGTATATCCTGCGTAAAAAACCGTAATAAAGAAATGTGGTTTTGAGTTACATTAAGTATGTATAAAGGCCAGATGGCGAAGTACTTTTCATGCTATCGAAAAGCTTCCAACTCCACTTGAACTTGAACTAGAAATATCAAATATTGAAAATGGATGCATGTGAAGTGGTGATCACGACAGTAGCGATCTATCATATCCTGTTGATAAACACTGGCCTTCAGACTTTGATGACAGCATTACATTTTTTATGAAGACTTTATCCTGTTATTGATAAACTTTGTTATCATGAACGAACTAAAGAGCTAAGTGAACGGTTAGTTCAACCTTGGTAAGGATTCCTGATACAAAAGCAATTATATTCCGGATATTACCTGGCTTCAGATGGATTTTGTTCCTATGTGTAGGCTTTATGTCATGGCTCTTGTGTCTTTTATTCTGTGAATCAAACAACATTCCATTCCAAAACAACTAAGATATACGTTTATAGAGATACTTTAGTAACCTAATTTGAAATAGATCCTATTCTGTCTTTTTGGCATGAATGCATATTTTGTATTGATAACTATTATATATTTTGTATATTTCTTCAATTTGAAATCCACCAACGATTAGAAACACCTTTTCATTGTCCAAGGAAATACAAATAATAGACATATAACATTGCCTCTCCTTCTCAACTTTCTGGCTAGTAATGATTATGTGCTTAGAGTGAAATATTCCTCGTGCTGTGTATAACTGATATACCAATAAATTAAAGTGACAGATTTGGGGAATATTTATAAATAAGACAGTGATTCTTAAAAGTAACTTCTTGACATTTTGTTAGGAAGCAAATTCAGTCGCCAGATTGAATCACATGAATGAGGAAATCTTCCTGACAAAACCCCTTATAACGAAGTAAGCAAACAATATACAGATGTGTTGTTTTACAATGCATTGAAAATAGGCAAAGGTTTTACATGGACGATTTTGTTCACTATTTATTCTCGGTTGTCCGTGTGTACTGATTGTATGGCTGTTTTTATGACTATTCCTGGTGGTTTTGTGTGACTATGTCACCGTATATTGTATAGTTATATCAGTGACTGTTTCTGGTTGACTTTGTAGCTATTCCATTGTATGCTTGTTTGTAACCGTAAATTGTCGTGGTGAATACTGTATTTACAATGTGCCTTTTTAAAGCGTGTTTAATTCTCATATGATTTATTTCAATTACTTCTCATTTAAAAAGAAATGATTAAATAAAGGTTTATATGACAATGAATTCGTCTTATTTCTGTATCACTACTCTTTTCGTTGAGTGCAATGCAAACGTCACAAAATTTTCATATCTAAAATTAAATTTACCAACTCATTTAATTAAACACATTGTTCAAAAGTAAACCAAATTTTTTTCTATTAAAAAGGATTTTCAGTAATGTAACTAACAGAACGCTATACAGTATCTTATCTTTTTTAAAACTACCTGCATACGCAAAGGAGTTAAGGCTAAATATAAGGGTTTCTATGCAAATGAGCTCAAATTCTTGTGTAATTAAAGGTTCAAATTATATAATGTTTAGATATGTAAGGTTAGTTGGTATCATGGGAATAAAAATCACCATTCTAACTGGTTTTGCAATATTTAATCTTTCATCAACCCTAGTCTCATGACGTGCATGTACATTTACACTTTTTAAGTATAATAAATAGCCGTAAAAGCTGTTTTAATAGCCTTTAAACCCCCAACGCCCCTTTTTTTTAAATACCAGTATAATATCTTTGAATACAACTTATTCACTGCTGCCATGTGATCTTTTTGTCCTTCGCGGATTGATCACATTGTGGCATGAAGAACTGGACTTTCCGCTGACGCCATTTTCTCCTCGGCGAAGTTAACGACCAAAGAGCTTCATTGGTAGGTGTATATTGTCAAGGAACGTCTCCAAATGCAATTAATTATATTTATATAGAGATGTTCCAATGCAATATTCCTATTACTGTTTATTTTAGAGATCAATGCCTTCCAATTTTTCCCTGTTTTGAGACACCATATAATTTCCGAATACATTGACAAACTCTATTACAGGGCGTATTCTAATTTGTGCTGAAAATGAAAAGAAAATGACATTCCAGTTACATTTATAAAAGAAAAAGGCTATTTACCATGAGAACATATTTACAAGGCAACTGAACTTAACTAAAAATACTACAAAGTGTGACATATTTGTTTCTTATTCGGACATTTACGTTAGCAATAGATCTACGACAACTTATAGTAAAGTAAACGTGATAACGTTAATTGTTGAGGTTGATTGCAGTTCTCTATCCCCATATTTGATATTTAATTCCAATACATATGGTGAATAGGATCATTTATCAATTACATACGTTGAAATTATTTATTTTTTTCACAAACGTGTTATTTTTAAAGTGTTAAAATAACGAGTGGACAATTTTTAGAATTTTAGATCAACTTTAAAAAACTAAGGATTTTTATGCAAAATTTCTGTCCTTTATGTGAAATAATACAAGATTTATTTATTTTAATATAAAAATGTTACATCTCCTTCGCAGTGAAAAAAAAGGTTAATGGTTATCTAACACAGACCTAAAAAAAAAAAGCATCAGAAGTGGGATCAGGTGCGAGCATAGCATCCCCTGCCGAACGGTCACACCCGCCGTGTGCTCTTTGTCATGATCGGGAAGTAACGGAAAAATGCGTTGTCAATTCAGTGTATAAATAATAGACTAACAGTATGAAAAACGTCAGTTAGCATTTGACTCAATGATAAATTGTATTTGGTGACAATGTCATTGTATCAACCATAGAACTTACGAATTGACAATACGTCGTCGATATATCTTAATGTCGCATCGAATGCCACAACAAGTGTTTTCTTCCTTTCACACACAAGATTTTGGACAAATTCTGCTTCATATGAATACAAAAATAGGTCTGCTAATAACAGGACGCAATTGGTACCCATTGGATTTCCAATAGATTTTTGGAACACCTTGTCTCCAAAAACCACCTAGATACTGTCAATCAGAAACTCAAGCATCTTTTTGATGTCAACTTCAGAGTACTTGTGTGTACAATAAGAATGTTTTTAACAAAATAATTTTGCATGCGACCAATGACAAGGTAAGTACGAGTTCCATTTTTATAAAAAAAAAAACAGCTATCAAATATATTTAATAGTCTGTAGTTTAATTTATCTTGGGGAATGGTTGTTTGAAGAAGGATATGGAGATAACGAACAGTATTTAATCTCAAAGTCCATAAAACAATACAAAATAGGAGCAGAGCAAACACCGACCTCCGAAACATCAGAAGTGGGATCAAGTGCTATGGAGGGGTAAGCATCCCCTGCTGACCGGTCACACCCGCAGTGTGCTCCTTGTCATGATCGTGTATTAACGGAAAAATCCGTTTTCAATTCAGTGTATTTTTAATGATGGACTAACAATTAGTTGAAAAACGTCAGTCAGCATTTGACTCAATGATTAATTGTATTTGCTGACAATGTCATTGTATCGACCATGGAACTTACGAAATGATGCCTTTAAAAGAGATTGCTGATAGTTTTGTTTCATCAACTTGCTTATTAGTAATTTACATCGTTTTAGAAATTGTTCATACGTAGAACATGCTCTTGCGTATTGAATCAACTGAGATATATAATCTCCGTATGCAGGTGATGAAGATATTTTGCTGCATAAGTAAGGGAAGTTGACGACAGAAAAGTTAAAGTCGTCGCGTTTATCATATAGCTTGGTTGTTAGGTTACCATTAACGTCTTTTTCGAGTAAAATATCTAATTATGAAACAGATGTGTCAGAATCTGTGGTATCTTTTATCTCAAGCTCTCCTGGATATATCATATCGACGTAGAAATGGAAATTATCATTGTTAATTGACAATACGTCGTCGATATATCTGAAAGTCGAGTTGAAGGCCACAGCAAGTGTTTTCTTCTTTTCACTCATAAGATTGTGCATAAATTCTGCTTTATATGAATACAAAAAATAGGTCTGCTAATAACAGAGCGCAATTGGTACCCATGGAAATTCAAATAGATTGTTGGAAGACCTGGTCTCCAAAAACCTTATAGATATTGTCAATCAGAAACTCAAGCATCTTTTTGATGTCAACTTCAGAGTACGTGTGTGCGCAATCAAAATCTGTTTTAACAAAATAATTTTGCAAATGACCAATGACCAAGTAAGTAAATTTACGAGTTCCATTTTTATTGAAAAAGCAGCTGTCAATGATATCAAAAAGCCTGGATTTTAACTTATCGTGGGAAATGGTTGTGTATAAAGTTAAAAAGTCGTAA